GGTGTCAATCCGTGATAAAAGCTCCCCGAGCACAGTCATTTACGTGTTTTACGTTTTTGACGTTTTTTCTTTATATTTGCGACCGGTTTCGTCATTTCTAATGACATTGTCAAGCAAATGTGACATACCTACAATCTACATGCTAAGATACAAAACAGACGTTTACAGTTTATAACGCTGGCAATGAGCACAAATAATATGATAAATCATCTCGCGTGTTGAGCACACTACATTTAAATTAAAGATCCTCCGACAATGGAAGAGCAAGAAAACCACATACATCTGAAATCAGAATATGTCGCAGTATACCCCATCAAAGACCTTTGCTTGCCCCTCTCTCATGAAGATATATCGTGGAGGGTGATGATGCCGACATGATCTCGCTGGACGTTCATGGGGGGCCTCTTTAGATGAATGAGCACAGCCTCCAGAACTTTGAGCCGTTTCCGGTTCATTTCACGAGCTAGGATGATGGTATTTTCAACGAGATCACTACGGCTCACTGCTCTTCCATGACAGCTCTTCATGTGTTTCTGGATTTCACCACTCTGTTTGTGAAAGGTGAGTCGTTTGGACAGCGTGTTGGTCGTGTGACCGATGTAGGATACCTTTGGATGTCGAGGCTTGCAATCCTCGTGGGGGCATGAGAATTGGTAAACTACATCTGTACACTTGAGGTGTGACTCCTATGCGCAATAACCTGCACAAGGAGTCACACCTCAAGTGTACAGATGTAGTTTACCAATTCTCATGCCCCCACGAGGATTGCAAGCCTCGACATCCAAAGGTATCCTACATCGGTCACACGACCAACACGCTGTCCAAACGACTCACCTTTCACAAACAGAGTGGTGAAATCCAGAAACACATGAAGAGCTGTCATGGAAGAGCAGTGAGCCGTAGTGATCTCGTTGAAAATACCATCATCCTAGCTCGTGAAATGAACCGGAAACGGCTCAAAGTTCTGGAGGCTGTGCTCATTCATCTAAAGAGGCCCCCCATGAACGTCCAGCGAGATCATGTCGGCATCATCACCCTCCATGATATATCTTCATGAGAGAGGGGCAAGCAAAGGTCTTTGATGGGGTATACTGCGACATATTCTGATTTCAGATGTATGTGGTTTTCTTGCTCTTCCATTGTCGGAGGATCTTTAACCCACGAGCCGCTGGGGGGGGGGGGGCATAAAGTTGCCCCCCCTTTACGTTTTGTGGAATATCTCCGAAACCTGATGAGCTACGAACGTGAAACTTGGCATAGCTTCAAATGAATACCTAGGCAATGTTTGAAGAAAGTTTGGTGGTTGTAGCATCTAAGATGACGTCACAGTGACGTCATAAAGTTTTGTCGTTTCTCGATATGGACCGTTTCTGATGACGCTGAGCATGAAACTCAACTGTAAATGAACTAGACAGCACCTGCTGTCATCCTAAAACATCTAAGTACACTTCCATCTAGTTGCTAACCAATAATCGGCCCTTTATATTGGGTCCCATATACCTGATGTATCGTGAGGAAACTGAGAGTCGCAAATCTATAATTTGACTTATGACGTCACTGTGACGTCATTTCAAATGAGATCGACACCAAATTTGGACACAACCTCGGCTAGGTATTCAGGAAAATGTGTGCAAAGTTTCGCTTCTCTATGTCTTCGCGTTGCGACGATATCGCCGCGGAAGTAAAGGGGGGGCAACTATATGCCCCCCCCCCCAGCGGCCGGCGGGTGGCGCGGAGGCCCAGCGGCCGCCGGGTTAATTTAAATGTAGTGTGCTCAACACGCGAGATGATTTATCATATTATTTGTGCTCATTGCCAGCGTTATAAACTGTAAACGTCTGTTTTGTATCTTAGCATGTAGATTGTAGGTATGTCACATTTGCTTGACAATGTCATTAGAAATGACGAAACCGGTCGCAAATATAAAGAAAAAACGTCAAAAACGTAAAACACGTAAATGACTGTGCTCGGGGAGCTTTTATCACGGATTGACACCCGATCTGCTCATGTAGTGCGTTCTATCGAAAAGGTTCAGAAGAAACTCATCAACGCAAATAATTCGGTCATTTTTAACGAAACATGTCTCGAAAATGGATTGCTCCCAAAATATACAAATATAACGGGTGTTTACTAATTAATGAGAAAAAGTTCAGATAGTTAATACGAACCTTTAATGGTAATAAATAATCTGCATATCTCACATGCTGAAAGACATGTCTGTTGCGAATGTCAATCACGCAAAACGAAAACTTCAAATACCATGGTCAGTCGCCATGAGAACGTTGAGCAAACAACGGTTCTAAGCAATCTTCGCCAATTTTAAGAAAAATTACCCTCCGACAACGGAGATGGCACTTATGGCTCTCCTAGTACAAGTTAAAGGTTTTTAGCCAAGTGCCAATAACATGCTTATGATATTTGAGATAAGAGGAAACGTTCAGCATGCTGGAAAAGGTTTGAAGTGGCTGCAACTCTGCGAGTTGCGCTACAGAAACAAGATCCCCTTCGATGGGGTGCGAAGGGCAAAGTGAGGGGTGTCAATGTGCCTGCTGGTGTGAAGCCACTATATTTGCCACTATTATGTCGTAATTTTTGCTGTAGAAAATGTGCAATTGAGTACCGGAGGTGCACACAGGCACCTGAGGTCACCAAAGCGCAGCAACGCAGAGAATAACAGCGTTTGCGTCGGCTGATCAGGGGCACGCTGTCAACTGGTGAGAACGCATGGATATGGTAATGGGTGACGAGAGCTGTTTGACTTACCCAGGGACAGAAATGTCGTCTATTGCCGGTTTGTATGCTCCTGTGAAGGGTGATACAACTGCAACCTGTGGACACGTCTCCTTGCCGGTTTCCAGCTTACTGATGTGGCTAGACCGTCTCTCCGGAAGGGGAGGTACTGCCAGTCACTTGTCCAAAATGAGTTATCATTAGGAGGATGTTCTATAGTGCGAGGGACGGCAAATAGATGCGTTGATTTCTTACCTTTTAGGGCAGCAAGGTAAAAAAGACGAATACTACCCAAATGGCGACTATGCACTCTGATTTGGCCTAGTTTTCGTCCATTATCCAATTAAAACTATCACAATGTTGGAGGGGGTCGGCGTACCCATGAAAGATCGAGAAGATAATCCACCCTGCGTGTCGCAGCTGTGGCCGATTGAATACTTGTGAGGCTTTGTCAAGAAAGAAATATAGCCAGGGGACAAGACTGTAGCTTTGGACCGACATCTGAAGACGGGAAGGCGGAAATTATCGGTCTCGTTTGACGCGGAGGTGCCGCGACGTTTGATCAAGGGGGTCGGGTGGCGCGTGCGGCGTGACGTGAAACATGGTGTGCTCAGTGTGCTGCGCTGAAGGTATTTGATAACCAATAGACGGATGCATCAGCATGCAAATTTTCGATTATCTAAGTTACAAAATACCCAAGATATAAGCCTTTAAACTTTTTCTCATTAATTAGTAGACACCCGTTATATATATATATATATATATATATATATATATATATATATATATATATATATATAGGGGAAGATGGGGGAACACCGACCCCCTTAACCTTTTAAGGTCTAGTCATGTAATTTTTGGGCAAATGATCAATCTCTCAGTTTCATTAGATTGTCGCATCAATTTTACATACATATCAACAAATTGTTTTCTTGAAGTGTCGTTCATTATTGCATTATTCCACATTTAGCAAATGTCTACATTTTTCGGGGTAACACCGACCGTTGGGTAACACTGCCCGAGCTCAGCAGGCAGCGAAATTTGCCATTGCTGGACTATTAAGTTGTTCTTCTTATTGTAAATTTTGATGCGTTTTAGTAGATTTCTAAAATATAGTGAAAACGACTTTATTATATCGCTGGGACAATGTAGTACTCATTTATACCTACAACTAGAGACTTAAAGTCCAAAAATTTGATTTTCTCGAAATTTTTCATTATCCTCTAAAAGAAAACATAGCAACAACGTTCTTTCTTTACTTGAAATGCGCCACTCCTGGGTTAGGTGCCACAATGTGCTTTTAAAGGGACTATCCCACCTTCAAAAAAGTACCATTTAGGATTCGGAAATGTTACTCATGATATTGTGACGAATTCTGCAAGTTTTTACGCGTTTTCATTGTATACTTTTTGAGATGAGATATTGCGACTTTTATATTTCATCGTGACGTCATTTAGATCGGATCTGTGACGTAATGAAGGATTTACTTCATGTCAATGTGGGGGAAATTTGGCAGCAAATATAGGTATTTGCTCTCAAATATGACGCGGCTCATACAGTAGCAAGTGTCTCTGATTAGCTTTTTCGTAAATCAAGTGAAACTTCACATGCGTGACAGGCGTTCAAAATGCAAATGACGTCATCAAACGGCCGTTAATAGTTAAGAGATAGGGCCTTAGCTAAGGCCCACTTTTCAAATGAAGGGAACGAATTTCTTTAACACCACGAAACTGAGGATATTGCGACCAGGATATATAGTGGTTTCTGAACCTGGCCGCCAACTTGGCTATCTCAACTCAGAACTAATGCAAAGGTGGGACAGTCCCTTTAAATACCGAATTTCCCAAGTGGGCGGTGTTACCCAAGTGTCTGCATTTTTCTAAAAACTCCTTCAATATGGGAGCACGACAAAAAATTCGCTCGAGCAGGAGCACGTAATACTTGGATGAGTCCCAATTACGTCATAAAATACTACTTCAGGACTAAAGTCTGTCAAATAAGATCAGTTTTCTTCTGTTTATTATGCTAGAAAAAGTATAAAACGCATTCACGAAACGTAAAATTAGGAATTTCTCGCAAATCACCTAAACCAATGCGGCGCAATGCCCATACCTGCACTTCTATTGTATTCACGCTGCCAAACGGCATTCAGCTGTCGCCCTAGACCTTTTTATATTTCTGATATCGGGGTGGGCGGTGTTCCCCAAAGGGCGGTGTTCCCCCATCTTCCCCTATATATATGATCGGGCTCTTTGAGCGGCGACGCTGACCTCATCTGTTTGAGCACGCGGTGCGGGTTGGCGCCGGCCCGGTCCAGTTTGTTGATGAATGCCAGGCAGGGCACGCTGTAGCGCTTCATCTGCCGGTTGACGGTCAGGGTCTGACTCTGGACGCCACCGACGGCACACAGCACCAGCACCGCGCCGTCCAGCACGCGCAGCGCCCGCTCCACCTCGACGGTGAAGTCCACGTGACCTGGAGGGCGGACAGGGGCCGAGGCTCAGACTCACTGCACACCACGTGACCTGGACAGGGGGGGGGGGGGGGCGGAGGAGCGGCTCGGAGGCTCCTGATGACACTGGGCGATGCGGGGCGCCGTGCCGCGCGCCGGTCGGCCGGCCGCTGCCCACCTGGCGTGTCGATGATGTTAATGTTGTAGTCCTTCCACATGGTGTAGGTGGCCGCCGACTGGATGGTTATGCCGCGCTGACGCTCCAGCTCCATCGAGTCCATTACGGCGCCGACATTGTCCTTACCGCGCACCTGGACAGGCAGCGACCGTCAGACACAGTGAACCAGAGCACCTGTACAGCGTCAGACACAGTGAACCAGAGCACCTGTACAGCGTCAGACACAGTGAACCAGAGCACCTGTACAGCGTCAGACACAGTGAACCAGAGCACCCGCACAGCGTCAGACACAGTGAACCAGAGCACCTGTACAGCGTCAGACACCGTGAACCAGAGCACCCGTACAGCGTCAGACACCGTGAACCAGAGCACCTGTACAGCGTCAGACACCGTGAACCAGAGCACCCGTACAGCGTCAGACACCGTGAACCAGAGCACCTGTACAGCGTCAGACACCGTGAACCAGAGCACCTGTACAGCGTCAGACACAGTGAACCAGAGCACCTGTACAGCGTCAGACACAGTGAACCAGAGCACCTGTACAGCGTCAGAGTGAACCAGAGCACCTGTACAGCGTCAGACACAGTGAACCAGAGCACCTGTACAGCGTCAGACACAGTGAACCAGAGCACCTGTACACCGTCAGACACAGTGAACCAGAGCACCTGTACAGCGTCAGACACAGTGAACCAGAGCACCTGTACAGCGTCAGACACAGTGAACCAGAGCACCTGTACAGCGTCAGACACAGTGAACCAGAGCACCTGTACAGCGTCAGACACAGTGAACCAGAGCACCTGTACAGCGTCAGACACAGTGAACCAGAGCACCCGCACAGCGTCAGACACAGTGAACCAGAGCACCTGTACAGCGTCAGACACCGTGAACCAGAGCACCTGTACAGCGTCAGACACCGTGAACCAGAGCACCTGTACAGCGTCAGACACCGTGAACCAGAGCACCTGTACAGCGTCAGACACCGTGAACCAGAGCACCTGTACAGCGTCAGACACCGTGAACCAGAGCACCTGTACAGCGTCAGACACAGTGAACCAGAGCACCTGTACAGCGTCAGACACAGTGAACCAGAGCACCTGTACAGCGTCAGACACAGTGAACCAGAGCACCCGTACAGCGTCAGACACAGTGAACCAGAGCACCTGTACAGCGTCAGACACAGTGAACCAGAGCACCCGCACAGCGTCAGACACAGTGAACCAGAGCACCTGTACAGCGTCAGACACAGTGAACCAGAGCACCCGTACAGCGTCAGAGTGAACCAGAGCACCTGTACAGCGTCAGACACAGTGAACCAGAGCACCTGTACAGCGTCAGACACAGTGAACCAGAGCACCTGTACAGCGTCAGACACAGTGAACCAGAGCACCTGTACAGCGTCAGACACAGTGAACCAGAGCACCTGTACAGCGTCAGACACAGTGAACCAGAGCACCTGTACAGCGTCAGACACAGTGAACCAGAGCACCTGTACAGCGTCAGACACAGTGAACCAGAGCACCTGTACAGCGTCAGACACAGTGAACCAGAGCACCTGTACAGCGTCAGACACAGTGAACCAGAGCACCTGTACAGCGTCAGACACAGTGAACCAGAGCACCTGGACAGCGTCAGACACAGTGAACCAGAGCACCTGGACAGCGTCAGACACAGTGAACCAGAGCACCCGTACAGCGTCAGACACAGTGAACCAGAGCACCTGTACAGGCAGCGACCGTCAGACACAGTGAACCAGAGCACCTGTACAGCGTCAGACACAGTGAACCAGAGCACCTGTACAGCGTCAGACACAGTGAACCAGAGCACCTGTACAGCGTCAGACACAGTGAACCAGAGCACCTGTACAGCGTCAGACACAGTGAACCAGAGCACCTGTACAGCGTCAGACACAGTGAACCAGAGCACCTGTACAGCGTCAGACACAGTGAACCAGAGCACCTGTACAGCGTCAGACACAGTGAACCAGAGCACCTGTACAGCGTCAGACACAGTGAACCAGAGCACCTGTACAGCGTCAGACACAGTGAACCAGAGCACCTGTACAGCGTCAGACACAGTGAACCAGAGCACCTGTACAGCGTCAGACACCGTGAACCAGAGCACCTGTACAGCGTCAGAGTGAACCAGAGCACCTGTACAGCGTCAGACACAGTGAACCAGAGCACCTGTACAGCGTCAGACACAGTGAACCAGAGCACCTGTACACCGTCAGACACAGTGAACCAGAGCACCTGTACAGCGTCAGACACAGTGAACCAGAGCACCCGTACAGCGTCAGACACAGTGAACCAGAGCACCTGTACAGCGTCAGACACAGTGAACCAGAGCACCTGTACAGCGTCAGAGTGAACCAGAGCACCTGTACAGTGTCAGACACAGTGAACCAGAGCACCTGTACAGCGTCAGACACAGTGAACCAGAGCACCTGTACAGCGTCAGACACAGTGAACCAGAGCACCTGTACAGCGTCAGAGTGAACCAGAGCACCTGTACAGTGTCAGACACAGTGAACCAGAGCACCTGTACAGCGTCAGACACAGTGAACCAGAGCACCTGTACAGCGTCAGACACAGTGAACCAGAGCACCTGTACAGCGTCAGTGAACCAGATCACCTGTACAGCGTCAGACACAGTGAACCAGAGCACCTGTACAGCGTCAGACACAGTGAACCAGAGCACCTGTACAGCGTCAGACACAGTGAACCAGAGCACCTGTACAGTGTCAAAGTGAACCAGAGCACCTGTACAGCGTCAGACACAGTGAACCAGAGCACCTGTACAGCGTCAGAGTGAACCAGAGCACCTGTACAGCGTCAGTGAACCAGATCACCTGTACAGCGTCAGACACAGTGAACCAGAGCACCTGTACAGCGTCAGAGTGAACCAGAGCACCTGTACAGCGTCAGAGTGAACCAGAGCACCTGTACAGCGTCAGAGACTCAGAGTGAACCAGAAGAGCACCTGTACAGCGTCAGACACAGTGAACCAGAGCACCTGTACAGCGTCAGACACAGTGAACCAGAGCACCTGTACAGCGTCAGACACAGTGAACCAGAGCACCTGTACAGCGTCAGACACAGTGAACCAGAGCACCTGTACAGCGTCAGAGTGAACCAGAGCACCTGTACAGCGTCAGAGTGAACCAGAGCACCTGTACAGCGTCAGACACAGTGAACCAGAGCACCTGTACAGCGTCAGACACAGTGAACCAGAGCACCTGTACAGCGTCAGACACAGTGAACCAGAGCACCTGTACAGCGTCAGAGTGAACCAGAGCACCTGTACAGCGTCAGAGTGGGTGAAGAGGTGACACACCCACCTCGTGCATCTCCGTGATGCGGCCCGTGTAGAAGAGGATGCGCTCCGAGAGCGTGGTCTTGCCAGAGTCGATGTGCGCCGATATGCCGATGTTTCTGATCCGCTCCAGTGGCACGGGTGTGCCGGCGCCGGCCTGGGAGGCCCACCGCACCCCGGCCGGCCGCCGCAGCTGGCAGCACAGACAGGCAGCCTCAGCAACAACGACTAGCTCACTAGACTAGTTCACTACAGCTTCTCCAACCTCCAGTTGAACTTCTTGGTATTTGTCAAGATAAGGTCCGAACTACAAGTGTGACGATGTTGATAAGAATATGTAGCAGCAGAAATTTTAGGTTGTACGTTTTTAACCCTCGCCCGTAAACGGTGTTTTGCCACCTTCGCCCATGCAGGGGGGGGGGGTTGGTGCGACCCCCCCTGGCGTTTGAAAACGGAGCGTCGTAGAGCTTAGCGGAAAAGACCAACGGATTGCTCTCAACGAGATCTCGCGATTGGTGGTATATTTTTTGGTCCTAGGTCAACATTTGACCTACTTATGACCGGTCAAAGGTCAAATTTTCGGAAAAATCTAACTTTTTCAGATTTCCGCGCCGATTGCGGCAAAACGGTAAGAGATATCGACTTGAAACCTTCACTATCGTAATCCTTGATCAATTCTCTATCGTTTGGTGTGTATTTCGATGTCATAACTCTAAAAATGATGCGTTGGGAGCATCGGAAGTCTGCAAGGTCATTTGTGCATTGGGTCACGTCAGGCGTGTGACGTCAGTGTCACTGACCTGACCCTGACCCAAAATGAACTACAAGAAACAACCGACGATGCCTGAAATGGATAGCAAATTCGAATTCAGGGCATCAAAATACCCCGAAAAGGCATACAAGTGCAAAAAGTCATTACAGGTCAACCGAGGTCACTGACCTTACCTTGACTTTAAGTAACCTTCAAAATGTCAACAGACATTGTGCCAATGTCAAATCAGCCAGTTGTGATTCTAAAACAATCCATCAGTGTGTCAGGTCAGTCGGCATTTATACCAATGTGAAGCAATCTCCAATTTAGCGTAAATCTGGCCGGAGGTTGTTCCCTTTATGACGTCATAACTCCGTGACCTGACATGACCTTGACAAAAAAATACCAAAAGTTGCGCAAAGGATGCCCCAAAGGGTACTGAAAATTTGAGCAGGCTATCTGAAACGGTTCGGCGTGTAGCTAAGAAAAACGTCAGGGGGGGGGTTGCACCAACCCCCCTCCCCCTACATGGGCGAGGGTTAAGTTGTAAGTTTTTAGGTTGTATGTTGTGCTAGGTTGTAGGTTGGTAGGTTGGTAGGTTGGTAGCCAGTAGGGTTGTAGGTTGTTTTGTTGTAAGTTTGTAGGTTGCAGGTGGGTGACGGCACGTGATCGCCGGAGGCAGTAGGTGTAAAAATACCTATTTTCGTCATTTAATGCTCAATGTATTCACTGCGACTTTTTACAAGACCTTCTCCTCGTCGCTATTTCTCACTTTCAACTGCTGAGCTCCAAATGATGACTATACCCTAATGCAAAATAAGATGAATGGAGCAAGCAATTAACTAGTTAGTAAGCCCAAAAAACATAAAGAAAATGGTTAAAAACACTTCTTTTGAAGGAGATGAAAGGAACGATTTCAGAGGCTTACAGAATATGTTTCAGATATGACACGCCAAGTAAAATGATGCACAAACACACAGTAGCGGCGGAACACCTTCAATTACGGGGGGGGGGGGGCACTGCCGACATTTGGTCCCATTCTTCCCATGCAACACCCATAGGGCTAGTGTTAAAATGTATGCAAACACAGTTCAAAAGTATGGACAGCAACTCCGCAAGCACTTGTTGACGAATGAGAAGCGTATATACTGTGGCCGTATTATTATCTGGATTATTTGGCAGCTGGCGCCGCATGGTGGCGCTAGCAGAGCTTGTTAATATCAATGCTAGATATAAATGACTAAATAGGGGAGACCCGGGAGGGCCGGTTTTGTGAAATGACAATTTTCTTCCAGTGGGCAGTTGCTGGACCTGGGTTTTCACTCTGTGTACGTGAACTTGCCTTTCGCCTGTAAAGTGTGCCTGATATTAGGCATCATTCTGGGATCAACTATTTTGTCTCGAGATAACCTTTAATAAATCATGCGCTTTTTCGATCCATCAAAATACACCGGGAGGTATGGACCATGGCCCGGGAGGTATGGACCGGTGTCATGTTTCATATTCTTTTATCGACATTGAGCAAAATACTCGTAGCTGGGATCTACCTTGAGCTCTCTTAGAGCCCAGGTACCGCATAAGCGGCCAACAGCTTGCTTCGTGAAGGTCACTTGGGCAGATATTTATTTTGGTAAACTTAATCATGTTCCATGAAATAAGACAAATAATATTGTTCTGTTCGAACGCAATTTGTATTTAAATTTTCGACTTTGTGCGACCAAAATAAAACTTATTGAAGAGGACATTCAATGAAAGCATCATTTTATTGATTTAGGATCACTGGGGGGGGGGGGGGGTGGCCCGAACCTCCCGGTTAGGACGCCAGAATGCGCGTAACATCTCAGCTCATCATCTTGCAAGAAAACTTCAAATTGTCTACCCAGTCTTAATTTAAATGTTTGAAACTGTATGTTAGCGATGGTCTGACAAAATAAAACGAGCCTGGTTCACATAAATCACGAATTTTCCGTATGTTCCGTATTTTACTCGAAGGGGGCAAAAACACTTTATCACCGCTCATTGCCAAAGTAGATTGAGGAAGATTTTGGAAATCACGTGGATTGTATAAAGAAATGGCTGCTACCAGTTTACGCGGTCAAAAGTGTAAGAATATCCATCACTTCTTCAAAACTGCGATGGCCCAGGCCCATACCTCCCGGGGGCCCATGCCTCCCGGGTCTCCCCTATCTATCCCCTATCTATCTATCTAAGGTCAGGTCAATTTCGCGACCTCCCCATTATAAGTCAATGGGGGGAAAAATCAACTCCCTGTTTTTACCACTAAAACGGGTCGGAATGGCCCCATATACCATACATGACTTAATATACGATCAACCTTCACTACCTTGAGGTCTGTTTTGCTGTTGGGCAGCTGTAAGGTCATGTGACGTCATCAAAGGTCACCAAAGGTTTTTGGCCAATAACTCCGTACAGGAACACGATACAGCCGCGCGGATGGTCTCATTGTGTTCAGCTCGACAAGACGCATCGAATGATATACATGATGACCTCGAGGTCACGTGACCTGAAGTCAACCTTTGACCTTGACCATTCGAGGTCAACATATATATCATTCGATGCGGATTGACGAGGGGATCACGATGATGTCCTTAGTTTGTTCCTATCTTGACTAATTCGAAAGTTATTCGAGAAAAACTCTCCATATCTAGCGCCGCCATTTGGACTTTTTCGACCCCTGTGACGTCATCTTTGACCTGACCTGAAAATGACCTTTGTAAAAATTGTAGACCTTGTCCGTGCGTATCCGATGCCGTTTACCGCTTGTCGCTATCTTGCTTCGTTCTCGAGATCTCAGGTTGGGCGGTCATCCGCCCCCCGCCCCCCCCCCCCCCGTCGGTGCGAAGTTGGCGCAGACCCCCGTCGGTGCGCGGGTTAAGTTTTTCAGGTTGCAAATGGAAACGTAGCGCTGTTCGGCAGCCGGCTATCTTGTGTGCCGGGTATGACGCATTCCGCGAGCCGACGTCACGGGTGATGACGTCGGCTCGCGCGCGAGCCGAGCGCCAACGACAAACTAACGGGAACACGCGGGCAGCCTCGGGACATAAACCGCGGAGTAGCATATTGAGCGAGTCTTATAAGGAAAATTCATATACCAGTAAAACGCCTTTTGAGCGAAGAACGAGCGAGCGAGATAGTGAGCCCTGCACGTGCGGAAGGGCGAGAGGGTGCTTCCAACGGGCTTGTGCAAAGCACCCTTCTAACCGGTCGCTAGCGGTGTGCCAAATTTGAACGCAATCGGCCCAGCCGTTCCTGAGATCTGGAAGCGGCATTCTGCACGTGCGCACGTGCAAACGGGGTCCAAAATGACTTTTGCACGGCACCCTACTAACTGGTCCCCAACCGTGTACCAAATTTGAGCGCAATCGGCCCAGCCGTTCTCGAGATCTGGAAACGCCCCCTGCACGTGCGCACGTGCAGTAGCACCCTAACCGCAACACATGGGAATGCATTGCCTGGTGGCTGCCTACCTGTATGCCAAGTTTCAGCGAAATCGCCCCAGTAATTACCGAGTTACTGAAATGGGAACGAATTTGGCACCTCTTATTGTTGTATTTTGCACGTGCACTGGGGGTGACCCACATACATCGAGAGTATCCTATTTTGGGTAGAAAGGATGCTGCTACCCTACAAAAATTACCGCAAGTCAATCGCCCAAGCGGCTGCTGAGATATGAGCCTCTCAAAATCACTACTTTTGCAAAACAGCTTGAACACCCTTGACTTTTCACGTGGCACGTGCCACGACGGTCACTGAGATGTATCAAAAGTAGTCAATTACGGGGTAGAAGGGATGGGGCTACCCAACAAAAAAGACCGCAGGCCAATCGGTCCAGCGGTTGCTGAGATATAAGCCTCTCAAAAGCGTTACAGGCCGGGCCGGGCCGGGCCGGGCCGGGCCGCTCATACTGAGATTTTTCCGTTATATTGAAAAGACTCACTTCGCTCGCTGCGCTCGCTCGCTCGTAATTATCGTTTCTCAAATGATAATCAGGGTGTCTCTTACCTTTATACCACTTCAGTTGCCAAATACCCGTCATTTATTGGAACGAAAGAATCTTCAGTTATTATCAATGCAATAGACCGAAGATTTGTGAATTAAAACTCCTACTAACAGATAAAAAATAACTTAATTTATTCCAACAAGTTTCATCACATTCACAACCAAAAATCTCACTTTTACACGCATCTTTCATAATACCTAAAGCATACTAACACGCTACTTTTGTCAAATGCGGCGGCGAGTGGCGCGCTGCTAGCGCTCTTTTTTGATCGCAAAGACCCTGCAAGCGCACGAGAACACTACCTCACGTCCGGGGGGCACAGGTATACCTATCAATCAGTGGCGCAGCCAGGGGGGGTCAGAGGGTCAGCTGACCCCCCCGAAATTTCTGTCAGGGGCCCGTTCGAGAGAGAGAGAGAGAG